GTTTTACGTAAGGGCCAGCGCAGAGTTCTTGGCTCGAATGCTGACAATGCCATCTTGATTGGGATAGGTTACAATAAGTCAGACTGGCGCTCTTTGACACTCGCCCTGACATAAGTCGATGATACAATGTCGGCGCTTCCTGCTCATCACCAAATGCGCAGTGTTGAACTGGGAGTTGTAGTGTTCATCAGAGCTACTGGATTCGAGCAGCTTGCACGGCTGCCAAGTCGGCGGGCTTAGTCCCCTCCCGTTGATACCGATATGTCGATTTGTCCGGGTGTTTTCCTGGGGCATGCATCATCAGGAATGGATGAGACAGAGACTAACCCTAGATATCAGAGATCTAGGAGCTTCTCAAGCTACCGGGTGTCTTTTTGAGGCGTCTACTAATTTCAGTGGCCCCTTGCCGGCAAAATCAGGACCGACCGAATTGTCACCACATAGCTGCCACACGATTCGAGGAGATTTTTCATTCATCTCCAATAGACTAGCCAGATATATATTTAGCGGCAACTATTACTCCTCTGAACCGTCTGCGCAGTCATTCTCTGAAATGGGGCCCGAAAACTGAGCACAGATCTAGTATCCGAGACCTGATAGACACACAAATACATTTTAATGGGCAGATCTCCAGCCAGTAGAAACGTGACCGTCACGAGAATCGTCTAGCTCTAATATTATGCCCATGAAGATCTCTGCCATCGAAGGGAAGAGACGGCATGAGTGCACACAAGAAGGTTAGAGCGGACCTGTTGACACTGACGCTCAGAGTAAACGCATAAAACACCCCTTGCAGAAAATAACCGACATGTAATTAAATTTTCCATAGAGCTGAAAGTACTGTTCTAGGGGTTATCTAGGAACACATATTCTAACAAGTCCTTTATACTTTCACCAGCTTACACGCTTCTTAGTTGTTGATTGGCGCGGACGATTCAGAGCAAGATTGAGACTTTAGGATAGAAGCTTTTTAAATTTAAGAGACTGAAATAAGATGACATTTAGAAAATAAGCCAAGAGTACAAGATTTGCTTTAGCACTCTTCATTTCCAGGCAAGGGAAGCAGATGCGTATTCTTCGGGGGGTTTAAAGTTTGAGAAATTTATGTAAGATACACGCCACCTTGAGATACTCAATCTTTTTTTTGATGGGTGCCACTATATCACCACCATCCTCTTTACTGCATGACCTCGCTTTCATGGAGGTTTGCTAAACCAGAAGTTACTAGTCCCTGAAGCCATCGTTTAAGTATGTGCGACGTCGGTGTGAGCAAGGTATCAAACACACGCCAACATCAATGCCTGATAATAGTATTAATTACATCGGTAGTTACTGCGAATAACTAAGAAATTAAGGGCTAAGTAAAGCCACTTTAAGCATTACTCAATTGCGTATATAAGGAAGCAGCTGTGTCATCCCCGCCTCGAGGCTGAAAGGGGAAGATTATTAATAAATCTACCGCCCGAAGGTGTTTTTAGCAACCACTATTATCTTTTTATCCAAATATCTCTGACAAAGGTTGACAGGCCAATAGCCACTGAAACTACGCCCATCTAGCTTTGGCTCGGCAAGCTCTACCATCGTAATATAGGTATTAGTCGACATAAGTATGGCTTTTTTGTTTCGTAGGCTTCCTCTCCCTCTGTTTTCTAACTATACATCTGGCTCTCCTTCTATCTTCTGAAAGTTATAACTAGGTAATGATCAGCCAAAGACATCATATGCGGACTCACCATGCCTCAAAAGTTGCCCTCCAATCCGCATCGAGTTTGCCGATATGCTGTCCCAGCTCCGCGAGTCCATCCAGCTATCCATTGAGGACCGTGACGCCAAGTTCTCGAACAACTTTAAGACGAAGAAGAGAAAATTTCCGCCGAGGACACACAGAGTAGTATCGCGGTACTTCGTAGCAGCCGCATATCAGGGCGGGCTTTCCAACCCTATTTAGATGCCAGCATCAGTTCAGGCAGAACCTGACAGCACTCGCAAATCCTTGCAAGCACACTTTGGGACTCAGCCAGAAGCTACTGGCTGAGCGGCAACCGTGACATGACCGCTGGCTACGATTGGGGGACTTGATTTGCCTTTGACTCCTTAACTTTACTTTGACTTTCACTTAACTTTGAATTGCTTTTACACTTATATCCTGTCAGATCTCATCTTAACAGGCTAATCATTTAGGAGGGCCAATTGACTAACGGTTACACAGAAATGGATGATGGTGGAGACTTGCAAGGCTTTTAGAAACTCGAACAAGCTAGATGCGCTGTCCTTTTCGCGTAATGGCGGAGAGAAAGAGCTTTGGGTGCGATTGACGGATATTTTGTACCATCGTCGTTAATAGTTCAGCAAAACTTGGTTCACGCTATCCATGATTCATCTTTCATCATGTGATTCTAAGCTGCTACGCCTGCCTGCGGTACCTGCCTGGCTCGGAGCATGACGACTTGCTCAGTTGGCACAGCTCTGTAAGCTATCATAAGGGCTTCAACAAACGCTGGCTTTGCCATATTGTCAGCAACTACCAGATCAGCGCACCAACAATGGCCAATCGCATGATAAGGCTACATGATTTCCGGGCTAAGTTTTCTTAGTTCCGTTTACCTGAAACTCGAGCACATTCTCCTTTTTATGATAAGTTATCAACGCTTTGGCAGGTTGAATAATCGATACGGTGTCATAGCCGATTTGGCAGGGGGTAGCCGAGAGGTATGAGATTGGGAGCCATGATGATCAGGTCAGGACTTGAGAGAAAAGGACCATGTTTTTGCAACTTTGTTTTTACCAATGATTTGAACAATCAGCAAGGATTTCAACTCGAGCATTCTTTAACGTCGTCTTTAATCAAAATCAGCTACGAGCCAGATAAGCCCCGGAGCCTCTCAATATTCAGCACAGCAACCTACAGATGATCATACTGAGGAAACTGTCGAAAGTCCTACCTACAAGGGCGCCGTCGCCACGTTCTGTGTCAATATCAACGAGAAGATATCCGAGGCTGCGAACGTATTACTCTTCTTTTTCTATCTTCTCAATTCAATTTGATGGGATAGATGGCCAAAGCAGACAACATACGGTTAGTAGCAAGACCAACTGGTATCTTTCTCTCTTAGGGGCGATGGAACTTTGATATCGACAAGCCTAAAATAATACATTTGATTTGGCAGTATAAAGTTCTGTTTTATACCTGGATACCACCCCACGGGCTTTTCTTTGTCTTCCACGGTCGTCAACCTAAGCCCGAGCACCAAATAAGGCCAATCTTAGCTATAAACAAGGGGCGAACAATTCACTACCAGTAACTGCATTATTATCTATGCCTGAGGGCTTGAATAGCGGTGATCTTAGCCAATCGCCTCTCCCTAATCCCCATCTCAGCTCTGCGCGGCTTCTCAAACCCCCAGTCGAGTACACCAGGCCCGAATCTCCTGGGAAACGTCCGAGAGAGGCCAAAACAAAGCGCTCATTGGGGGTAGTTTTTCCACAAAGCGCCAAAACTTGACCATGTTAGACCTGAAAACACCCGTCCTGAAACATCCACGTCACTCGTCGGCACACCGAATTGGTATACCTCTGCGCTCGTTTCTTGGCCTGCTGCGCAGACCTCCCTTTGACTTCGGCGTTGATAGACGAGCTTTTGCCAAAGAGATCACACTTCTCTTGATCCCTGATGTAATAAGTGCGCCGTCGTCCCGCTTCAATACAGACCCAAAACTCGCTCCTTCTGAAGGGAGGCAATCTGCCACAACACATCCAAGACCTCCTCGCTTCAAGACTAGACTGTACATTTTTTTTGTGCGCATTAAATTGATATGAACTCGAAAACCCGTGGCGCCAAAAGTTTTCGTCGCTGGAACATACAGACGATGGCAACGTCGCCGTCACATTCAACGCTGTCAGAGCCATAAATGGGTTAGATACGATATATGTCGCAATCAACCATGGCGATCAGAGATCTATCCACTTTAATCTGGCGCTCCTCTATCCTTTTCATACCACCTGTTGTAACTATGCCCTGCCTGAACCAATGCCTCGTCGGATCGGTTCGGCTTTTGTCTCTGTCTTCTCTTACCTGGCGGTTATTATGGTCCTTCTAAGGTAGAGTTCACTCTGAAGCGCTCTCAAGACTACAAGATCTTTTTATATATACAAAGAAAGTAAGACGAAATTCAAACCATACCATATTCTCCGACAATGGGCTGCGACTAGACATACTACATCATGTAAGAAAACAAATGAGCCTATGTTACTTGTTACCTTCGCAAGACAACGGGATGAACGACTGTAAACAGAACTTGTTGGGGCTTCAGTTTATCTGCAGCACCACCTACAAAGTAGTAGTCAGTATAATATCAATCAATAACCAATTCTTTTATTTAAAGCCTTCACTTCTAACGCAAGAGACCTCAGGCGTTTTTCATGTCTCGCTCGAGGTTGTTTGGAGAGCCTCTATAATTCAAGGAGTGCTCACAAGTTAGCCACTTACCTACACCATCAAACTAGCCAATTCAACTATGTCTCATTTAATACGCTTTCTCCGTTTACAAAACGGTTTTTCATGATCCGCAGCATCAATCTGTTTTTCTTGATTTCATCCTTGGACCAGAGAAGCATTAAAACGCACTGTCCAGTATAGAAGATCAAGCCTTAAGCTGTCATGCGTACAAGATTCATTAATCGATTTTAGATTCCCTGTTTAGAAATCTAGAAGCTACTGCCCAAGAATACAGCAGATTCATCAAGTTCACTGCTTATTAGTCCTCTCTCGTGAGAGTACTCCATCGATCTGTTTCTTTATTAAAGAATAAAACACATCGCCTGCTGTGGCGTTACGAATGGCACCAATGGCTTTGACGGGGCTGCCGGCATACGTTTTCTTGTAGTTGATGGAGACACCATGGCAGTAAACACCGTTGGTATAACAACAGGACAAGACAATATCTCTGTTGAATACGACGCACCGCAGCCGAAGGGTAGGTTCTTAAGTTTAAGAATTCTTTCTAAAAGTTGGTCGACTCGTCCATTCTAGCACAAAGTAAAAGAAAGTCAGTCGGTCTTTGATAAAGACTGGTCATGATGAATAATTGGGCAATCCCGCAGTGAGATCGAGAGATCGGGGCAGACAAGGCTAGATCCTCTCACTTTCTCGACTGGGTATCCATCATCATGACACCTAGACATAATTTACTTGGCTCGGCCGAGGCAAGGCTTCGAACGTTGTTTCGGCCAACAGGACGCCCTGGTTCAGGCTGAAGACTGTAGGCACCGTTTGTTTCGCAATTTGGAGCTCATTCTGAGTTCAGGCTTGGGGGCGTCCGGAGAGGTGAGTTCCACTGAATTAAGTAAAATGAGCGATATAGACGGCCATGACATTTCAAAGACGTACTGTTCTGATATTACAAGTAAACAGCTACGTAAAACGTGACCCATTCGTGACTTTCCATGACTTAGTCCATCTCCCTATGTGCATCCAATCTCTCAGTCCGAATTCGATAAATAGAAATTGCGCGAAAGAAAACATGAAGTCGTCTGCAGTCGCTCTCGACATCGTTATTTTACTAAGCAGAGGCATTGTTCCGGGCGTAGGCAAGTCGTCTCCTCATCCATTTCCATCACATCCTTGGTAACATTCTAGAAATACACGCATAACTGAATAGCAAGCCTCATAAAGACTAGACTAATACTATACTTAATTTCAATGTCGCAGCAATTCAATTCCCTCGATGTACTGCATAAGTTGAAGCCACTGAGAGGTCCTAACTCGTCCATCAAGTTTCTATACCGTTTAGTATCCGCACAATACTCTTTCATCCAAAAATGCTTCAAACTCGGTTTAGAACAAAATTTAGGAATGCTTCAATACTTACATCTTTTAGCATCGTTGACCAGGCGGTCTATGTCTTGATTTAACGTCCCGAAGCCTAGCCGTGGTGGCTGTGCGCAGTTGGGGTTCCAGCGGCGCGGTGGGAATCTAGGGTCGTTGTAGTATGGCGTGTTGGGGTTGAAGTACCCTGGGTCCCTTGGGTCTAGGATAACTTTCGACTCGACCCAAGTCGTGACGTATTTGGTCGCTTGAGCTGCTCTTGAGGATCCCGGTATGCTGGGGAAATTTGGGTTTTTCGGCGGACCCTGCAGCTTTACCTTGGGTTCGAGCAGAAGCGGCCTCGGTGCGTGTGGCCAACCAACGGGCGGCTGCGCCTGTTTTTCTGTGGACTTTTCATCGAAACGGATGCCTTTTCCAAGATCGGGTTTTGAGGACGCCGTCTCGGGTAATTTGCTTTCGTTGTGGCTCGACATAGCGTTGCGGCAGTATTACGAACGGACAAAGAAGAATGAGATGAAGAGGAAAGAAATTAACTGAGGACGAGGGGGCGATCAGCATAATGGTCAAATAAAGAACAGACTGCAGGTAGACAAACATACAGGGCGGATTTGGAAGCAAACATTAAGCAAACATCCAACCAACAAGTTGAGAATGGTGTATGCATAAAAGCATAGCCAAGGGTGTATACTCATAAGACACGAATGCTTATTTAGTCATAAGGTAGTATTCTTTTATTTGACGCATATTTTAACCCCCTTTGCGTGCATAGTAATGATTAAAACTGACTGAGTTTTCTCTTTCTAAAAACATACAGAGAAACATATTATAGTTAATCATAATACTTAGCCATCAGGTAATCATTCATCCATAAGACGAAAAATAGAAACACAGTTGATGGACTTAATCTTGGGAGTGCACTATTTGTCTCCGTTTATGCTATGTTACATAGTTGTGGAAATAGTTGCTCCCGTTATAATCCATGATGGTTACATATTGTTATATGGGGATGTAAATTTGACTAACAAGCCTGCAGCGATGGTCAGCATTACTTATTTGACTCTTCTCTTCTGGTACTGGAGGCGATTTATGGATTCTCTTTGACTTTCTTGTTGCATCTTGAAAAGGATGCACATTTACTGCGCTGTTACCTGTGGATGTCATCGCTTGTGAACCCACTCTGACAGCTGGAAGAGTGTGGCATTGAGGTAGCAGAAGAAACAAAGCTCTGACCGTAAGCCTCACTACGTGGCTTCCAGCAGAAACCCCCACAACGTCAACAAGTCATACTTTGACGCCGTTCTGTTCTTCCTAGTGGTCTATTACCATCCCAAAGCGAGCGAGCCCTTTTCACTCATATCGGCAACAGGGATGAGACAATGGAGCTGTGATACATAGCTCGGGTAGTCCTCGAGGGTCGGGACGAGCCGCTACAAGTGTTACATGCTTATGGAAAGGCTTGGCGCCACCGTCTATGTCCCGGCTGCCTGACTACATCTCTTGATTTAACATCCCCTAAAATATCAAGCTCATTGTTATCGTTGGAACAGTTGGAACACGGAGTCGCTTGCGAACACCCAGACTCCACACGTGATGGGCTGGGAGACCTTATCTCTTGCTTTCACTAATAAAACCACAACTTTCACTTTACTTCTGCACATGATGATTATAAGGAGTTTATTATCCATTGTTTTCACTCTTACAGAAGTATTTCGCGCTTGTGAAACCTACACCGATCAACGGTTAACCTCACAGATACCATTGATAACAAGCCGCCCGCAGATCAGCAATGTCTATCAGAAGAGGGAGATTTTCCTCAGTAACCACAGCCGTCACCGGTCTGGGGAGAAAGAGCTAGTCATTCTAACTAGGAGGCTTTCGAAGTAGCTCAATTCATCATCACTTCAGAAAAAGAAACCATTCACCTTGACTCTGCTATTTGAACCCAAAGCCCCACTGCTGATCCTGGGCAGAGAAGATTAATCGCAGGCAACCAATGGCATGCGGAACGCTTATCATGTTGTAAACTCAACCAGAAGAAAAGAACTAATGATCGACCACCGTCTTGTTTCTTTAGGAGACAATGACAAAAACGTTGCCTGCCTACAAGACATGACGACGACGAACTCTCCAGCCACAGTCACCAGAAAAATCCAAGCAAGGTGCCACCAATGGGGCGCCGGATAGTGGTTACTTTTTCACTTCCTGAATTCCGCGTCCAAGACATTACATAACCAGTGATTCAGCGAGGTGTTATCGAGGCGCTCAAAGACTAACCCTCCCAAGGCTACACCAGTTTGTCAGCTAACTCCAGTGGCTGGAGAAGTGAAGAAGAACCACATCTGACTGATAACAAAGTGAAACGGTCACAAAGAGGCTACCGGCGGTGACTCGCCATACAGCTATACCGATACGCCTCCAACACTGCGGCCGAGGAGCTGCGCACGTGGTCCTGGGTTTCTTAAGGTCAACTGTCCATGAGACCGGAAGCGGAAACCATAGAGTTTGCCGGCGCTGTTCAAACGGGTCGCTTGTAAATAGTTCAAACTTTCGAATAGTGTCTTTCACCCACAGGCATTTAGCAAGAATGATATGCTGCCAACTGAACCGCCAAGGTCGGCGCTGGGCAAAACTAAACGACGCAAGCAATCACCAAAAGCACCTCAATCTCAACAAGTTCCCGCGAGCATCCTAGAATATCGCGAGTGGCCATCTTCTAGCTTACTATTAGAGGTGTTGCTGTAGAAAGAGTTAAGTTGCTGCGAAAGCCGTCCGTATTGTCACATGACAAACGAAGGAAGATAGAACAGCAAACGTCTGAGCGGTCGGTGAGCAGCGGTGCCGCCGCCGCAACAACCAGAAGTCGATTAACAGTTCCAATCCCGCAGAGGATCGAGGACCTAGTTGACCATGCAACCCGGGGCAAAACAGACTTCGATCTCATAAAAGCACTCAGCTCAGCGCAACTTGGCTCATACGCAAGATTGTCATGGAAACCTACTGTAAACGAGTCCTTAACGGCTTTAAACTATGACGCGAGGCTTCTGTGGACTTCGCAGACCGCTCAGAAGGTAGCTTCAACAACGCACCGCCAGGGATCATGCGTTCCATCAGAGACAACCTTGTCTCTCAAAGAATTGCGTTGAGATGAATGAAATTAGATCTCTACGAACGTCGCGAAAGTTTCTCCAAAGCGATAATTCAGACTATTAGATGATGAGGGAGATCGACAAGGCCACGGAGAAAGCGCCGAACGCTACAAACCCTCATCAAAAGCTAGAATTGTCTCATTGAGATCACCATGCCCGCTATGATGGCCAGTATTACCGTCTAGCACAGCATCAAGCACCATAACCAACAATCAGTTCCCCGTGCGGCCCAATCACGTTTCTTTAAACAAGCCAACATCAACAGTAGCAACAGCCACTTGGACGACTGAATACTATGAGGTGTTCCCTGGAAATTGAAAGGCAAAGCCAGGAAGTATCATTTTAGAATTGCCAAAGGCAATTTCGCTACATTTGAAGCCACATCACGATCAATTGCAAAAACACACTTCGAAAAGAGTAAAACCGAACAATCGTATGCGTCGCAGTAACAAGCTACCACCTATACTCGGGTCATCAGAGACAGCCCAGTGAAAACAAGACAAAAGTGTTTGATACTGCTATGTAAAAGGTTGACAGGTATTCAACCTTGGATACCATAAGTAGACCAAAGCGTATATTTCCACTCAACGCATACAAAAACGTCCCATAATGGTCGATGGCGTGTTTTGACCCAGCTCAATCATACGAGAGACTGCCAACCCAGCACATTACAGCAAGCAATGCGACTTTACGCCTAAATTAACAGTTCAAAACTACCTTATACCCACCGGGGCAGTACCGGGCCGATCGAATCTGCAACGGTCGCTGTCACTGATCACGAAGATAATCCTCTCGAGGTAGAAGCTGTGACAGATCACTGTTGCCGCCAGCGCCACATAACTGCTACGTATACAGGGATTTTAACTGCTGCTCAACCAGGCACACATCTAGGAAAAGACGCAAGACATACGAGAAGTGCAAAGCAGCTTAATGCACACAAGACGCATCATTCCCATCTTACAGCCAGTTCTTATCACATTACGAAGGGCTCGGCGGCTTGGAGGCAGAAGTCAGCAAGGAATCGAGGAGTGGATATAAATAAGAGCATAGAGTTCCTGACAAAAGTGATAGAGAAGTCAAAAGCAGTAGCGCAACCCAGTTCAACGGCACATTCTGTTGCATTACGACAGTCTTCAACAGTATTAATATCGCTTCAATCCTAGCTAACCAGCCAAACCGTCACTTAATTACCAAAGAAGGCCATTTCCACAGCCAGGAGAAGTCAGGAGAGAGACCGTCATACTTCATACTCGACAGGCGATACTGAACGCATAGCTATCAAGGTATGATACCCAATTCTAAAGCAGCTATGTTCTCAACAGCAGAACACTCCCAGTTGTTGGCGCTTCAACGGATCAAAAGAGAAATCACACTCAAAAACTACGCAGCAGGAGGTTTCAGATACAGATTCGGCGATAGCTGACCTCTTGATTCGATGGGCACAACCGATGTGCCAACACCGTTCCGGTTGGCACTTTCCACATAATGAATACGAACGCCCCGTTCAATTTATGCTTGGAGGATATGCATTGCCTGAAATTCCCCTTCAATAGCGTTACCAACACTATGACTTGAGGAATAAGTCAATATCGATCTTCAACAAATGGTGCCACCTTTGGTTACTGTTAGAAAAAGAGGAGCCACTGGCATGGAACCATCTTACAGATGTCGACTACAGCGAGTTCATGGCCGCTTCAAGGTGCCCATCTTTTCAGCGGCTACACAAAGCCTTCCAGTAGGCCGGCCACCTAGTGGAAATGGCAGCCATCGAATGGCTAAAGGAGGTCTGCCACTGCTACCAAATACACGTGCCGGTCCCCTCGTGTTTTTTATTCACATTCGAGAGGATTACTCCTTCAGCTACGAAATCATTGTCGATATAAGATACCTCGACGGTAACCACCCAGTTCTCCACTGGTTGATGCCGTAGCATTGTCTAACGCGGTTCAGTTCTTAGAGAGCATCTCTACTAAGATTACATAGGGAACGCTACGCCTTTGCTGGATCGATGTTGGTTGGAGACCGCCTGGCTTGTTGATAACAGACGTTGGTTCAAACTTCCGTTCACCAGAGATAAATATGCTTCGGGAATTATGTCGATCTACTTTAGAGAGGTTCCAGTTGAAGCCCTTAACAGCGTTTGCGAAGTCGAAATCTATTAATTGCCACTTCGAAGGGTGTACAAAATCATAAAGGCGGAATCCCTAACAAAGATACCAGAAGCAGTACTACAAAAATAAGTGAAAACGGTCCAAATTACCGCCGGTAACAATGGACTAGTGCCCACGCTTTTACGGTTCGGTTTCGTACATACGTCTGACGGATCA